ATATATTAGAATGTCTCATTTTAATAAATAATGCATTAAGCTTTCTCGAAAACTATGATAGATACGGAAAAATATTTCAAAAGTTGTATATACATCAAATACGATAAAGACCGTCAAAATCGGTCAAATTTTGGATGTTACAATTAATACATTATATATTCTTTTATTATTGTAAGTCAATTTATTCCAGATATAATTGTAGATATAACATTCAGTTTCAACAATCATTAATCATTCTGAAATGCTAATAATCCCCCCTAAATTAAATTAGGAAGAAAGAAAGAAAGTAAGAAATTTATTGCGAAAAATATTACCTTAGCCAGGACTTAATGAACCTCTCAACTATCCGGGAAGAATAAATATTACCTTAGCTAGCTTGATCACTTTTTGCAACTGATATGTATAGAGAGAACGCGTTGTATGGCGGCATATGTACAAACATATTAAGAATTTTAAGCAAAAGTTGTATAGTTCAGAGGAAGACAGAATAAGATCAGCTCGAAGTCATTTTGAATTTTTTAAATGGAACTTCCCATTTTTCATTTCATATTCTTGTAGCTTATTTCAAGAATTTTTCAAAACACCACAATAAAATTCTTTTTCATTAAGAACTTTTTAAGTTATAAGGCTTAAAAATTATCGTACCATCAGTGTTAGCATTACTCAAGTGTCCAATTGATGGCTAAAAACTCTTGAATATTGTTCAGGATCATGATCTGAATAACGATTCTTAAAAAAAATCTTTAAAAAAGGCTATTGAAGGTTGTTTCTCTTATTTTTATTTACGTAAAAAACAACACACCTTGATGAAGTGAACGGCAAGGTTTACGAAACGTGAGCATTTACAATGAATCACGACACGACGATAACCCGCAAACCTTTTGGCACCTCTGAAAATTTTATTATAGTGTTTTGAAAAGTTCTTGAAGTAAGCTATGATAATATTGTATAATAAAAAAATGGGAGGTTTTGTTTTAAAAATTCGAAATGATCTTAACCCGACCTTAACAATGCTACTCAAATTAAAAAATGATACCTTCTTATATTCCCCTCCGAATCATATAACTTATGCTTCAAACATTTTTCTATGTTTATCATAATTCTTGCGAGAAATCTAATGCATTATTTAAAATGGGACACCCTCCTATATAATATTGAAAAATAAAATCCTTCTTAAAGTTCCAATCTACTTTTGAAACCATGCAATTATAGATATTCTAATATTCTAATATTCTTGAAACTTTAAAACTATGAGTAAGATTTTAATATTTTTGAAATAGTTAGATTTTTACTCTTAAAATTCTTGAGTCCTTTTCTAAATTTCTTGAGATATATTTATATCTTTCTATTTCAGTCTAAAGAAGCATCTTTCTTTCCTTAATCATACAGAATGATTTTTCTGCGTATGTATAAACGTAAGCTTATGTGTAAACAAAAATTAGAAGACAATGTATCTCATCTTTAAAGAGACCAAATCGCTCTGTTCTGAGTTGTGGCGATCTTGTTCTCAGGATGACATGTCTCTAATACGTGCCACGACACAATCCTTCAGAGTACATCGGACTAAAGAAAGTGCTGCTGTTATCGAGTTTGCCGTTACTCTCTAGTTGGATTCTCAACATCTGCGCCACATCGGTCATGTGGCTGTACCTTTCCAGATTCTGCTCCGGAGTCGGATCGGGCATTATGTGGCCCGCGATATCCTTATACCTTGGCGAGATTGCTAGTCCTGCTATTCGAGGCTCTCTGGTAATTTAGTTAACGGAATACTTTCATATAAAGTTCCTTTTTTTACACGATTTTTTTATGTATCTCTCATTCTTTATTCAATCTCAAAATATGTAATTATATAATTCTTCTCTACTCATGTTATATTTCTACATCCAATAAGTATGTATCAGTATTTAATTTTTCCATCACTATTTCTCATTCTTTTTTTTTATCATAGAATACAATAGCGATGTAAAAATGATTGAAATTCTAAAAAAATATTCTAAAAAACACTTCACATTTAAAAATAAAATATATTATTATAATTATATATAATCATATATAATAAAAATTATATTTTATTTGTAAAATATTATAATTTAACATTAAATATTATAAACATTAAATACGATAAACATTAAATACGAAGAACGGCAAGAACGGTCAAATTTGAGATTTTACAATTAATACATTATGTATTCTTTTTATTAAATTTATTCCAGATATAATTGCGAGCCGATAACGATATGGTTTCAACACAATCATTCTGAAATGCTAATAATCCTCCCTAAATTAAATTAAAAAGAAAAAAAGAAAGTAAGAAATTTATTATCTCAGCCAGAATTCGAACCTCTCAACTTTCTGGGAAGAGTGTCGACCACTGAGGCTTCGGAAATATTTTTCGCAATAACTGACTCTTGGTTCTTTATCGTATTTGATGTATACCGTCGTGCTTAAAATTCTTAATATATTTGTATACATACGCGGCCATACAACGCATTCTCTCTATACATATCAGTTATTCTCTCAGTGATCGAGCTAGCTAAAACACTCTTCCCGGAAAGTTACAGGTTCACAGGTTCGAATCCTGACTGAGGTAATATTTTTCGCAATAAATTTCTTACTTTCTTTCTTTCTTTTTAATTTAATTTAGAGGGGATTATTAGAGTTTCAGAATAATTGTGTTGAAAACGAACGTTATCGGCTCGCAATTGCATCTGGAATAAATTGATTTAATAAAAAGAATATATAATGTATTAATTGTATATAACATCCAAAATTCGGCGTTCTTTATCATATTTGATGTATTCACATATATGGTCGTGCTTAAAATTCTTAATATATATTATAAACATTATATAATTAAGCTATCTAGCAAGTAACAAATAATCGTAATATATTAATATTAATGAAATATACTTCCATTTAAGGATATGTCAAATTGACGTCACTAGTAATATCAAAAAAGATGGTCATCTCCCTCGAAGATTAACTTAAATTAATTTGATAAGCCATTAATTTTAATTGATTAAAATGTTGGTTTTT